TTGATCTCAGGTATGTATGTGCTGTTGCAGCTCGACAGGTTTTCTATGTTTGCTCCTTCCACATTTGAGGATGTTTGACTGACTGCTGGTGTGTGTGTGTGTGTCTGTGCGTGTGTGATGCTGCGTTTTCAGGGTGCGCTGACCTGCATCTGCTGGACATGCTGAGCCCCATGGAGAGGAAGAGGCAGGGGTACATCCACGAGCTGATCGTCACCGAGGAGAACTACGTCAACGACCTGCAGCTCGTCACGGAGGTAAACACACGGGGTCTCCTCCATCCTCCTGACTTTATCTGGGTATCAATTTCCAAGCATGTCTCAGTTTGTAAAGTGTATCTGGACATGAGAGGAGCATGGGCGGTAGGATGTACATATCAGAGAGACGTGGCACACAGCTGGAACATTAGGAGGCCTGCACAAGGAGTGATTTTATGTAACACAGCATGTGCTCAGGATATAATTCTCTGGCTTTTCTCAGTAATAACAATGACTTTTATTTCAGGCATATGTGCAATTGTTGACAAACAACAACAAAAAAGTCAATAAAAGTAAATTAACAACAATAAATCCTGAATTAAATGGAGGAGAACACATTGAAGCGTTAGGCTTGTTACAAATTTAATCAAAAGCTTTATTTGAACACCTCTAAAAACAAAGTTAAAGTGACAGAAAGGCAAACGCAGAACACTCAGACTGTGGGTTTAAAGAGAGATAAAATACTAAAAAGGTTTTTAGCTTTAACATCCAGCAGTAACAACGACTCGCTGTGATTTCTCCAGAAAGTCTCGTTTTATTTTATTGTTTTGGCTTTTTATCTTTCATCGATCACTCGTTTTTTTCCCATGAGCCAAATACAAACTCTTTTAACAGGAAGTAGACAGGACCAGTAATAAAATAAAAAAAAGAATCGTCCTGATCGTCCGAGCCAAAGATGAAGACATAAACCCAAATTAAAGGCATGGGTTTATAAAAAACTCCTTTGAGTTTTAGCACAATGTTTTCCTCATTTAATGAGAAAGATCATTTATCAAACAGATCATAAAAAGTTTATCTGAGTTTTTCTGTGCACATTACAGTTTCTCTGTTCAGTGAGTTTCATCACTCTGAAAATTTTTTGTCTTTAATATTTTATTTGATCTGAATATTCGAGGACGAGTACAAGCAGGAAATGATCGATTCCCTTGGTAAAATCACACAATCGTGTGTGTGTGTGTGTGTGTGTGTGTGTCTGCGTGCAGATTTTCCACAAACCTCTGCTGGAGTGCGAGCTGCTGACAGAGAAGGAGGTCGCCATGATCTTCGTGAACTGGAAGGAGCTCATCATGTGCAACATCAAACTGCTGAAGTAAACACACCAAGCTGTGAAACAGACACACACACACACACTGCGCATGCACTTACTCGACACAGAGACATTTGCATCTGGTGCACGTTTGACTTGCAAAGCTCACCTTGTTCTATTTCCTCCTGTCAGACAGTCGCTGCAGTGTGTTTGTATCTGTGACGGTGAAACTTTTCCTCTGCAGGGCTCTGAGAGTGAGGAAGAAGATGTCGGGCGATCGGATGCCTGTGAAGATGATTGGTGACATCCTGACCAACCAGCTTCCTCACATGCAGCCGTACATCAGGTGCCGTCTGCCATCTCTCAGTCCTGAGTCGGCCTGCAGGGGGATCATCCCCTCAGTTTCGTGTCTTGTATGACTCTTTACGTGTTCTCGTGTTCAGGTTTTGTTCGTGTCAGCTGAACGGAGCCACGCTCATCCAACAGAAAACCGACGACAACCCCGAGATCAAAGACTTCCTCAAGGTACAGCGCTGTAGAGTGAACTGTGGGCAAGGTTTCAGCCCCTCGTCCCAAAGGAAAATCACCTGGATGCTTTTTATAGTGGGGTTTTATTTACTCATGCACGGTCCTGTCACGGTTCACACAGACGCTTCCCTCAGTTTGAAACCTTACTAAGAAAACTGGCAACTCAAACATACCTTTGTTCTTCCTGTTTTCTTTTTTCGTCCGATTGTTGTGCGGGTAATTTTAATGGACACTATAAATGTGGGAAAGTGTGGATGAGTAATTGCAGAATAAAGATCTGATTTTCTCCAACTCCCTCACTCTCTGTGTGTCAGAGGTTAGCCATGGATCCCCGGTGTAAGGGAATGCCTCTGTCCAGCTTCCTGCTCAAACCTATGCAGAGAGTCACGCGCTACCCTCTCATTATCAAAAACGTACGCACAGTATCCACACACACATCACACTCCCTCATATTCAGTCTGTTTTCTCAGTGTTTTGCTTTCTAGTTGATCTGTTTTTTGTTTTTAGATTTTAGAAAATACTCCAGAGTCTCATCCAGATCACAGCCACCTGAAAGCAGCTCTGGAGAAAGCAGAGGAGCTGTGCTCGCAGGTGAGAACCCAACACGGGACGATGTCCACACTGCAGTGAAAGCCTCAAATGTGTTAGTCTAGAAATAAAGCTTCACACCTGCGTTATAGTTCAGTAGGTAACATAAAGCAGATGCCTGCATGCATATCCATGAGTATCATCCTGATCGATGTTTCATCCGATCATGAAACATCGACCAGAAACTCTCAGACTGCAAAATCGTATATTCCTACTTTAACTACTATCAGAGTTTCAGGCTATCAAAGTGCACGGGGCAGGTTGAAATTGTGTGGGGTTTTTTATTCATTCATATTGTTTGTTTGGGGTTTTTTTCAGCCTTTATAACTTCGTAAGTGCAGGAGACGCACGCATTAAATGAAAATGTTTCATGTTTGGCTTAAACCCGTCTCTCCGGGTTTGAAACCATTTTTTTATAGCTGTGCTGAAGTCAAAGACTGGATGGAAAAAGAAACAGATCCTAAAGAGGTCCAGAGGTTTTCCCAACAAGGCCAAAAATAACTTCTTACCCTGGTTTCAAAGGTTGTTTATTCCTGAATTATCATTAAGTATGGTGTGAGAGACTCAGATGGTCTTCCTCCGGCTCAGGTAAACTTCGGCTCTGATCCTGGAGCTGGATGGGACTTCACTCGATGTGTTTTTGTGGGTTTTTCAGGTGAACGAGGGCGTCAGGGAGAAGGAGAACTCGGATCGCTTGGAGTGGATTCAGGCTCACGTTCAGTGTGAGGGCCTGTCAGAGGTACATCTTATCCTCCTGATGCCCTCTGAAAACAAGGCAACGTAAATTTATTTGTATTCGATCAGCAGACGACAGTTTGATAAACTCCTGTTTAACTTTTATATTCATAAAATGTTTTCTATTAACTCTGAAATCATAGCTCAGTCCTCTGAAGGATGATACACATCCTGCGTCTTTCCAAGCCCGTCAGAAGGCCCACAGTTTAAGTGTTGAATCTTTACTTGAAAGTGGGTTAATTAGGAAATAATAGCAGTAATATCTGCCTGTGTATCCCTCAGCAACTGGTGTTTAACTCAGTCACCAACTGTCTGGGTCCCAGGAAGTTCCTCCACAGCGGGAAGCTGTTCAAAGCCAAAAGCAGCAAAGAGCTCTACGGCTTCCTGTTCAACGACTTCCTGCTGCTCACACAGGTGAGTCCTGCACCTCTGTACAGTTTACATGTTTAGTTTCTTGCCTTAAATCCATCTTTTATGTTGTACATGTCTGAATGTGGCTGGGCTGGTACTGACGTAGCATCTTTCTACTCAATTTAAAAAATGACCCTCGCAGGTGACCAAACCTCTGGGCTCGTCAGGCTCGGACAAAGTCTTCTCTGCAAAGACGCACCTGCAGTACCGCATGTACAAGACGGTAAGACTACACAATCTCTTTCTCCAGAGAGACTCGCTGTTAAACCTGCCCTGGGTTATGTAGTGTGAGCTGGATAAACATGTCCTAACTAAGGTTTGTGTTCACTCTCAGCCAATCTTCCTAAATGAGGTGTTGGTGAAGCTGCCGACAGACCCGTCGGGAGACGAGCCTCTGTTCCACATCTCCCACATAGACCGAGTTTACACGCTGCGAGCCGAGAGCATCAACGAAAGGTGAGACGCTTCACGGTCCAGACTGAGCGAACAGGAAAGGCCTGCAGTCAAACTCTCAAACCTGAAAGTCACTCTTAATCTAGGATGAGTGGATTCGCTTTAAGTTTAGGTCTGTGAGTAATAACATGACTGCCTCACAAGTTAGCAGTGTCTTCAGCTGTGTGTATCATTGCTAGTCTCTAAATGTGTGTGTGTGTGTGTGTGTGTGTGTGTTTATTCAGGACGGCGTGGGTTCAGAAAATCAAGGCAGCTTCAGAGCTGTTCATAGAGACGGAGAAGAAGAAGCGGGAGAAAGCATATCTAGGTACCTGTCCCACTGAAATAAACATCCTCAGATTGACCATGATCAGAAATGTCCTCTGACTCCTCCATGTCTCTGTGCCTCAGTACGTTCCCAGAGGGCTACAGGTATCGGGAGACTGATGGTCAACATTGTGGAGGGAATTGAGCTCAAACCCTGTCGCTCCCACGGTACGTGTGAACTCCTTTTAACTAAATTTGGAAAAGGAAAAACGTTGATTTCAGTTATTGGTTATACATAAGTTCTGTTCTTCCAGGAAAAAGCAACCCGTACTGCGAGGTGACCATGGGCTCCCAGTGCCATATCACAAAAACATTACAGGTAAAACATTACAGGTCTACAGGCAGGCGTTCATTATTATTCCATATTTCAGATTCATTGACTTTTTCATAATAAAACGTGTTCATTCACAGCTACAGTACACCACTGCAGTGCTGGTTCACTGCTGCAGGGACACAAATATGTCTGCTATAATTTATACTTCACACCATCGTTTTGCTGTTTTCTCTCTTTTTCAGGACACTTTGAATCCAAAGTGGAATTCCAACTGTCAGTTTTTTATTAAGGACCTGGAACAGGACGTCCTCTGTATCACTGTGTTTGAACGAGACCAGTTCTCGCCTGATGGTCAGTGATAGTCGCACGCTGATTTAAATCCCTTCATTTCACGTTCCCTGTCCTTTTCAGGAAGTATGAGTGGTTTTGTTTTCTGTCTGTTTATCATCCTCTTTGCCTCCAGATTTCTTGGGCAGGACAGAAATCCGGTTAGCGGAAATAAAGAAGGACCAGGGCTCTAAAGGACCAATCACAAAGAGGCTGCTGCTCCACGAGGTTCCTACGGGAGAGATCGTCGTTAGGCTCGACCTTCAGCTGTTTGAAGAACCGTGAAACCTGGACGGGGCCACGGCGGACTGGACTGGCCCAAAAAGAACCTGTAGGAGATGATGGTTTGGACTGGACAGCTTAGATGGATTAGACTGGACTGGACAACTGGACTGGTCTCAAATCTTTATTTCTCCGCGTGTACGTCTGAGAGAAAGGATCAGTTAGCTAAGGGTACAATGATGCCATTACTAAACATCTTCAAGTTTAAAACAAAAAGGAATAACTTCATGAATTACCAGCTGGAGAAAGGACCTTCACATACACACAAAAGCCAAAGTGGCTGAAAATGTGTGTAACTCCATTTCAGCTCCTAAACATTAAAGATAAGCAGCAGTTAGGGTCACCATGGCAATCCTGAGCACGCCTCTTGAAAAACACATCACCGCCTCCAGTCTGTGCCTCCTATCGACCTGCTTACACACCATGGCTGCGGCAAGAAGACTCCACAGCGTTTCTGTTTCTGTCAGAACATCTTGATCAGATTTCCATTCGATTCTGTGCAGCAGGCGGAGCTCCTGTGAGTCTGAGGCCTCCATAGTCAAAAGATAGAGCAGACACATGATCCCATGTTCTGCTTATAGTCTGGATCAGCTCTAGTGGGCTTGGTGTTAGATTACAGAGAGGGTTTTTAGAAGAACTTCCCCCCTCAGTCGAGATGAACATTACGCCCATTCATCTGACTGAGATTGCATTAATATATGTGAATAATACAAATATTAATGCATTTTTAGCCACTAATAATAATATACAGTATGCTGGGATTTTTGCTTTGCAGCAATCACACCAAATATGTGACACACTGATATAAAAATAGAGATGAAGTGGACTGGGATCATAAAAAGTTGGTATGAGATTCTTATCATTTCTGGCTTATTCATTTCAGTGGAGAGGGTAAATAAAGAGCTCAACATCCAAATGAGATTTATAGATTTTATTCATCTAAATCTAAATTTGTGTGGAGTTTTTAAATGTCACATACACGTTCACGTCTTAAATCTGGTGTGCTGGTGCTTCCGTGGTTAGAGATTGGACCGTTTCAGCAGGTCTGTCCTGTGATCTGACATTTCAAGAAGCAGCTCGACGGGTTTTCTAATCTGCAAATGGTTCTCAGTCATGTTGGTACCACTGAGAAGTGAAAATCCGAGACCTGGTCCAGTCCAGTCCAGTCTGCTTGTGCCCCCTCCCTCCTTCAGGACCGGTCCACGTCAGTATTTAGTCGAGTCTTGGAGAAGATCAGTCAGGTCTTTACTGTCTCCTCTCCCTCTGCTTCATCCAGACAGTCTCACAAACACTCCAGCGACAATCCCAGCCCTCCTTCTTTGTCCAACCAAACCCAGACCTTTATGTGAGAGAGTGTGTTTGTGTGTCTGTGAGAGTGTGTGCGTGTGTGTGAGGCAGACGGCCGATGCGAATGACGGTACGAGTGTAAAGGTGGACAGGCTAACTAAAAGCACGGTTCAGTCTCCATGCATTTTTACACAGTCTCTCAGAGTCTTATGATCAACTCTTTGGGCTTCGGCTCATGTGAGGGGACATTTTTTATAATTTCGCTCAGTTTGGACGCTCACTGAACGCTCGCCACGTTATCTCAGAAAGTGCTAAATATGTACAGGTTAAATGAGAAATCCTAACGATGCAAAATAAGCTGAAGATATAGAGACCCTGATATATGACTGGTGTAAATACATTACAGACAAGATGTCCCCTTCACATGCGTCTGCGGTAATAATGCTGATAATAAGACAGGGAACAGGCGTGAAAGCTGATTTAAACTGAGGTACTGTAACGAAGAATGTCTTAACTGTTCAGGGTGTTTTTGTTTTTATGTATATGTGGGGGGGTCGCAGATTTAGACGATTTCTGTCACACATCTGAACTCTGACGTTATGTTGCTGCTGTGTTGAGCTGTCACAGTGGCCGTCACTATGCAGGGAGGGTAAACCCTGAGGGATTTCGAGGGCCCGCCGCTGGACTGGGGCCCTCGAGCAGGCTCCGTAGGGCACAGATGTATTTTATAGGAATAGCATTTTGACCATTTTCACAGTTTAACCCTATGAAAAGCTCAGAGTAGAAACAACGGTACTGTGCGTCGGCACTCCCAGCACTTTGAAAAGCAGATTTTGGAGCAGAGCAGGACACGAATCTCCTGAATTTCACCCAGCAGCTGTTTTGGGTAATCAGAGCAGGAAGTCTAATAAAAAGAGGCACTCAAACAATGTGTTTTTATTAAAGTCTTATCATTTTAAAGACATTTTAATGAAGATAAGCAAACTGTACTTGAGCCCAAAGGTGGATCCCAGCAAATAAAAGAAAGTCAGGAGTGAATTTCAGATGCAGTCGTTGGATTTTCTTCTTAAATGAAGAGAATGTAAAAAGAAAAGAGTGATCTGCACTGACTGCTACCATTTTTGTTCAGCATAACAACTTTATATTTAAAGTAATGGCAATAACTGTGAAGCTGTAATTTGTGGACTGAACTTATTGTCCAAACTATACCTTCTTTCACAAACTGTCCCAATGTTTCAATTTCAAGCACACTTTGAAAATGAATACTTCTCTGATCTTCCTCCTAAAGTTTCCTCGAGCTGATTATTCAAAACGGCGGCTGCGTTCGCCGACAAGGCCGGAAACATCGCCTAGCTAGGTTGCTTAGTAAGATTGTAGATAAGTTAGTTAGCGAGCCACTCGGCCGGTTAGTAAATCTAGTTAGGTGTTTTAATTTAGTGCCAAGTTACAGTAATGTTCTAAATTACCACGAAGACAACAGTTACCTTAGTGACCAGCCACTGTCCAATCAGAAGTCGGCGAGGCTCGGCCAGCTTCAGCAGCTTGACTATGGAGGAAGGTGTGAACGAATGTTTGTGTTTCCCCAGACTGAAGCTGATGATGATGATGATGATGAATGATGATAAAGCTGTCTTACACCCCTCTGTACTGTCCTGCTCAGTACCCCTCTCGCCGCCTCCTCTCCTCACTGTACTGAAACTAACCCAATCCAGTTTGAACCTAACTGTCTACCTTCCAGGTTGTGTATAATACTGCTGTTATCTGAGAGTTAATATATGAGCGATAAAGGCAGCCTGCTGTTAATTATCACTGTAGAAGATGATGTACGTTGTTGTCTTTCGGTGTTCAGAATAAACTTCAGTTGGACCAAGAACTGCACTGCCTGTGCTGCTGTTTTCATTATGGATTTAGCTACTTGTATGATCCAATCATAGACTGTAACTAAAAGATGTATGTACAGGACTGTGCAAAATTCTTGAGCCACCATTAATTTGTTCAATGTTTTACTAGGAAAATGGGGCACGGATGCAGTCATGCACAGAGACCGTATATGAGGCAAAAACTGTTCTCACGAGCTTGAAAGTCGATATCTGGTGTGACGATCTTCGTTCTCCGACAGCCTGAACTCTCTGAGGCAGCTTTCTGTAAGCAGTCTTCAGGAATTTTCTCTGGGCTTCTGGAAGGATATTCAAAGCTCTTGGCATGTTGGCTCCCTCTTTTATTTATTATTGTTCTTCAATAAAGCTAATGTCTGTGCAGGTTTAAAGTAAAAATGTATGTAGAAAAGCAATGATGCTTCTCAAAGCATCCTAGTTCGGGCACTGCATGCAGATCTGGCTTTGTAAAAGGCACTCAGATTTCTAACATGTTCTTTTTATTTATATTTACCAAAAGAAAAAAAGAAAGAAAGCAGTGACTTTGAAAAGAAAGCAAAATAATCTTCACAACATACCTGATAATTGTTTATAATGTGTAATAATTATAGTGGTTTCAAATACATTTTGCACATCATACTAGATTATTTGATCGCAGTGAAGTGGTGGTGGGGTTAATTAGAGCAAACATAAGCACCTAATAGCACATCAACCGATCTGCGTCTGACAGCAACATTTGTTTGGATGTGTTTGAACTATTTCAGCTTTTACTTTGAAAATACCAGGAAATAAGCAAATTCTTTATGCAATCATTGTTAGAAAAAAAGGGGAAAAAAACAGGCAGAACGACAACTGAGCTGAGCGCGTGAGACAGTCAGCAAAAACACAGCGAAGCAAACTTTATTTAAACCGGCCCAGGTAACAGCGGTGCAGCAGGAGAGGGAGGCTCGGGACATTCAGTTCTTTCACAGAGAGGGAGGAAACCCCTCAGGATCACTTCCCAAACACACACTGGGAGTATTTCTCCAAACTTCTGATAGATTTCATTTAAACCAGCATGGCTGCTGCGCTGTTCAGAGCTGCAACAGGACTGAGTGTCAGAGTAGGTATACTTTATTTTTACATTTATTCTGTAGCTGATAGAACGTTTGTGTCTGCAGCTTCTCATTACTTTACAGCTGATTAACAGCCTGGCATGCACACACACACACACACACACACACACACACACACACACACACACACACACACACACACACACACACAGATAACAAGTTTTAGTTTTATTCCCTGAAACTCTGTAACATCCTAATCCTCAGCTCATCACTGAGAGAGCTCTAGGGCCTAATATTGAGAGGCCCCACATGAAACCGAATCATTTTATTGTAAATGAGTCCAGTTTAGATTAACTAGGCTCTGGTTTTCAGGCTCATGAGAAACGCTGTGCTCTAATAAAGATGGCAGTGGCGCTCAGTCACGGAGTCTAAGCATGGTTTTATACTAAATAACTGCAAGTATTTAGACTAATCATTTTACACAAGTTAACCAGTCAAATTGGATCATGGTTATTGTTTCATAAGCTGGAGATCATTTATGCAAGTAGTTTAATATCTGCATATTAAATAACTCAGACTTTAAAGCTGCTAAATGTTTGTAATATGCAATAAAAAGTAGGCGCAGACATTTGCAACATATTTCTATCTGCACGTAGTTGTATATACAATTAGACTGTTTACCACTCATGTTTTTGTGATTTTGTTTACAATACTGCTTATTATTTCCACAACTGTAGCAAATGCAATGAAATCTCATTATGTGCACTGTAAGGTGGAAAGTTGAATTTAATTAAAGTTCTTCTGACTACTGTTTGCAAGATAAACTGTTACCACCAGGGGGCAGTGTTTTACCAGTGGGCGTGTAAAATGTTCTCAGACCTGTGCTACTATTCAGGTTCTTTTTTCTTTTTTTTTTATCCCTTTCCATTTTTTGTGTTTGTCTTTTCCAAGGCCATCCTGGAAATGAGAGTGTGACGTAATTCCAAGTCAGTCCACCAAATATGTCTGACCTGACCATCTGACATTTAAATGAAAAAATCCAAGGGAATATGCACAATTTTGTATCCCTACTCTTATTTGGTTTCTTTAACAAAAAATCTCAAAGGATGAAGGCAGAGCACAAATCCTCTTTGGGCTTATGTCAGGAAGGGCACCCGACATAAAACTGCCAAATCAAACAATTGGTGACCCCATGTAGCAAGAGGGCATCTTCAAAGCATGAAGATGGTTTTAGATGTTACTGCTACTGTCAAACTTTTTGAGAGATGTTTTTTTAAATTATTATTGTGTAAAATGCTTCTTAAGCTTAAGGTTTTTCAAAATTTTGAGGCTAAATATCGGGTACTATGGCTATTAATCGCCTATTAATCCCAAATCAGATGAATGGGGGAAAACACTTCCATTTAATGTCTGTGAAGGTTCTCAGTCATCCAGGTCATCGTAGTCAAAGGAGCTTGCAAAGAAAAGCGTCTGGACTTCTTTAAGTTTTCGTCTTCAAGCAACTTAAAGAAGTCCAGACGCTTTTCTTTGCAAGCTCCTTTGACTTCCATTTAACTTTATTTCGAGAAAATAACTAAAAATTTCGAGTCATGGATCCTTTGTTGTTTGTTTTTTTTGTGGTGGAAACGGGCTTCCATAAGATTCTGTTAATATTATATCAAAAAAAATTGTGATGGTGTTTTTCTCTTATTTTTATATTATATTTATGGACAACAGGCAAAGATTGTTTCAGAAGCAGAGCGAGATGAGTTTCAGTTTATGCAATATAAGCATTTTCTCTCGTGTACTGAGTACTATTACAACACATAACGCCCATTGTAAGAATAAAATACTCTAGTCCCACCTCACAGGCCCTTTTTAGGCACGGTCTTGAAAACCATTCACAGCAGATGGATGCCCCTCCCTTCAGCTGGCGGCTTCTTCCTGCTAAAAGGCAGTTTTTCCTTCCCACTGTTGCCAAAGCATCTGCTTATAGGGGGTCATATGAGTGTTGGGGTTTACTCTATTTTCGTTGTTAATTTTAGGGTCTTATAAACACATAAAATTGAATTGAAAGTAAATGACATTAAAAAAATGACAGTTTTACAATGAAATGTGAGCATTCATGATTTATGTGTGGTTCTGTATGTGTGCATGTTCAGCGGATCCACGGGGAATTATGTAGAGTGATGTGGACGCCACAGGCTGCTCGGTTCAGCTCCAAACCATCAGACAGAGACCCGCCACGCAGAACACACATCAGTAAGAAAACACACGTCCTCTCCTTTTGTCTTCTTTTGGCAGTCTAGACAGAGGCTGGAAACAAGGTCACAGAGAGAGACACACAAAGAAAAGTACGGTATGCAGCAAAGGTCGCAGCAGACGAAGGGTATAGGAGTTGATTTTGGGGGTTATTACACTTCCTGTTGTGCAGAAATTGCCTGCAACTAAAGATAGTCCTCAGTGAATAGGAATGAGTGCGATAGCTTAAAACAATTACATCTGTTTCCAGTCAAAAGTTCCACATTTCATGCAACTGCAGTATAAAAATCCTCTAAACAAAGTAAAACAGCTCTCATGTACTCCAGTCTTCCAGTCTCTTTTAGTTTGAAGACGATTTTGCCCATAAAATGTGAGCATTCTGCTAATGCGTGCTGAGTGGCCTGTTAAGAATGCATGACAGGACACATTCTTTTGATGGTATTCATCTGCAAAAAATAACTACACGTTAAAGGTTTAATTAAACCACAACATAAACGTGCGTCTGTATAAGAAGCAGGTGTTTATGGTGGGCGAAGGTTACTTCTAAAAATCAAAATGGTGCTGTGGTCTGATGTGTCCATAACACTAACAAAAAGTACTGCTATGTGCTACTCTAGAAACTTGTTAAAATCTAATAACATAACTGTATCTGTTATCTCAGCTCCTGCTTTGATAAAATATGAAGAAGATTATTTACCCCACGGAATAGAAACTGCTCACAGTCTTCTCTCTGCTGACAGAGAAAGCCAAGTCCCAGCCTGCAGAAGGAGCTGATAAAGTTCTGGACAAATTCTTCTCTGAAAGGAGGCCAGCCACAGCGCCCCCTGCTGTTGGTGAAGGTCAGTACATTCAGGATGTGCTTAGTCAGGGTAACAGTTGGTAGACACGACTTAGTGGTGTAATAGTGGTGTAATTAATTCACTGTAAATATATGAGTAAAATGTTTCTACAAACAGCTTTTTTGTGCTGCTGCTTGGTTAGGAAACCAAAATGTATCCATTAAAAACAGAATTCGGAGTTTTAGGAGGGCTAATGGAACAGTCATCATCTTAAGATTAGTACAATCTGATTCAAAAAGCTGAAGTGGGTATCAGTGAAACCAGCTGATGTATTCAGATCTGTGTTACGCTCTGTTTATCATGGCAGGAGAGCTCATATAGCATAGCGGACGCTAACAGTAAAGGGTCTAAATTTGGCAGTAATGACTGCGTGCAAAAACAAAAACCTTTCTTCTTTCTTGCATGTTTATAAAACCTTTGGCTGCATGCATAAACCTGTCAGAGTAGCATATAGGGTATGATAAAGGTAGTGTCAAATTCCTGCCTGCTTGCTACTGAATCACCTAAAAGAAATCCATTATTTCTACACAATAATTAACAAAAACCCAGGAAAGGTGAGAAGGTTTCACTCTGCTTAAAGACCTTTTTTCTTGCAGAGCTTTCCAAAGCTGCCGCCATGATAAATACCAGCTCAGCCCAGGATCCACATGAAGCAGCTAACAGAGACTCTTTGGAGAAAGAAGAGGAGAAAGCCAGCAAAGCAGAAGCCATGATACCTGAGTCAACTTTAGCAGAAGTGAAGGCTGATGTGGGGAGTCTTGAAGCTGACGCTCTGCAAGAAACATGTGACTCGCTCCAGAAGGGAGCTGAGGAGCTAGCAAAAGAGTTGGAAGTGAAGATGCCAATAGAAGATGTTTCTGTTTCTGAAGGTGCAACAGAGGTGGACAATTTAACACTAGATTCCATCCCTGAAGCTGCGGATACACTGGAAGCTGAAACATCAGCAGTCCCTGAAGCTGTGATTGGATCTGAGCAAGGACCGATACAGTCGTCTGACACTGAACAGGAACTGAGACTAAACGATGGGGTGATCAATCAGAACAAAGTAAAAGGGGCAGCGGAGCCCGAAGGAAATGTTTTGGAGGCCATGTCTCTTGAGTCTGTGACCTTGGCTGAAGTTGAGGTGTCTTTGGGAACTCTGGAAAGCGAATCTCTGAGTGAAACCTCGACTTATCTGGAGAAAGAAGCTGCAGTTCTTGCTGTAGAGAAGAAGATGGAGGTAGAGGAGGAAACCACTACCAAAGAGATGACTGAGGCTACACACGCTGACCCTCTGTCTCTGCCTGAAGTCGTTTCTCTGCCTGAAGATGTGCAGACTGATGCACTGATGGAGAAGCTGCTCTTTACTGTTCCTGCTAGCGTAGAGGGTGCACGAGAGAGCCCGATTATTGAGGAGGCTGTAACAGCAG